TCAACTGTACTACATTTTTTGTAATGTTCGGGATATATATATGTGTGTGTGTGTGTGTATGTATATGTATGTATATACATACATATACATACACACACACACACACATATATATATCCCGAACATTACAAACAAGTAGCCCATACAAGTTGCTTGCAATCACTTACCTTAAAAGAGTATAGTAAATCCAATGAATAATTTTTTTAATGTTCTCACTTTGAGTGTATGCTCTGCTAACATTTTGATTTCATTTTAAAGGAAAACTGCATGCAGTTTCGTAGACGTCACATAAAATACATCCAGGCCTTAATAGCTGAAACAGAAAAAGTTATGACCAAATTAAAACTCAAAATCACCCCAAAGTGGATGAAATCATCTCCGACAGTACATAAGGGTTAAACAAATTGATTTAAGTAATGTTCAACTCAATGTGTGTTTAAATTCAGCTCATATAAATAGTTTGCAACCATTTGCCTTTAGATTTCACTGAAGAAAAACAGAAGAAACTAAACTCTTCTGTATCAGATTATGGCACATTTATTCCTGTTTTTCTTGTGCCGTGTGAATGCAGATGAAGTCCGTCACAGATGAGAAGTTTATTAAGCAGATCCGAGCTCTGATTACTGACAGCGGCACACATGAGGACTCTTATTACAACATTACGCCGGCTGTGGATCGCTTTGGGACCACGCATGTCTCAGTGCTGGCAGCAGATGGCAGTGCAGTTTCAGTCACCAGCACCATCAACCACATGTGAGAAATCCACAGCACTTTTACATGCACTCGACATCTGGAGGAAACTGCTTCAGAGTTTATAGCAGGGACAACATTCTCTTATCACCATTTAAGTTAGGACATTAAACACATTACAGAGATAGTTCACCCAAAACCGAACATTCTGTCATCATTTTCACACCCTCTACTTGTTCAAAAATTAATTTGAGTTCTTTACGTTGAACACAAAAGAAGATATTTTGAAGAATGCTGGGGGATCCATTGCCTTCCATACGTCGATTTCCCCACTATTGTTGTCATTGGGTGCACAAAGCATTCTTCAAACCATCTTCTTTTGTGATAAAAAAAAAAGGGAAAGAAATTTTTTAAATAAATAAATGTTTAAAAATAAAAGTTTAAAACCACATGAGGGAGCAAAAATGACGAGGCAATTTAAATTTCAGAGTGAACTATTCCTGCTGAAAATTCAGCTTTGCTTCACAAGAGTTACTAATTTCACTTTTTAAAATGCTGTTTTTATTTGGCAAGGACATATTGATTTCTTTTTTTTTCTTTTTTTTTTTAATCAAAAATAACCCAGGTCAGGGATGTCAAACTCAATTCCTGGAGGGCCGCAGCCCTGCACAGTTTAGTTCCAACACTAACTAAACGCATCTGATTAAACTAATGGAGTCCTTCGGGCTTGTTTGCGGCCCTCCAGGAATTGAGTTTGACATCCCTGACGGTCAGTGTATCTTTTGGTTATTGGATTTTCATTTTAGAAACAGAAATTGAAAAACAAAAAAATTGTAGTTTTTTATTTACTTTTTAAAATGAAAAACAAAAATTGAAATTCAATGCATTTTTTGATTTTTCATTTTTTAATTTTAAAAACGAAAATCAAAAAAAGGCTCATTTTTTTCATGGTAAAAAACGGAAAAACTAAATCAAAAAATGATTTGAGTTTCTTTTTTTTTTCGAATAACAAAAAATAAAATCACCAAAAAAAAATATTATAATAATAAAGACTTGTTTTTTATATTCTGAAACCAGATAGGCCGACTTAATTACAGTGCTGCAATGCTGATCTGTTAACCTACTATAGGCTATATTATTTTTTCCACTTAATAATGTTATAAATGGTATTTTCTTGTGATAACAGGATTTTGTTAATTTATATCTTCCTCATTGAAGCCGGTTATATGGAACAACACAATTGGCGATGTATGCATTATTTGCATTGCCGAACAGTTTTCTGAAAATAAAGTTTATTGTTAAAATCGCTTCCACTTCAGCAGTGACATTAACATTGGACAATCGTTGGAATCATG